ACCATACGGCGTAGTGTTTCCTGGCACATCCATTCTTCAGCAAGACATGCGTAAGACAGAAATCAAATCTTCCACGCCAATAGTTGTAATTCTTCCACCATTTTCATTATTTCCTTACGAAGCAGCGCTCCCAGGAAGCGCACATCTACGCAACATGGTGCCACGTCTTTACCATCACGAGGTGCTCATTCACCAGCACCAAGTCACGTTCTAAAAGATGTTTAAAAACACCCATCAGTCTTCGTTATAGAATGGATAGAATCATAGAATAGATAACACAGAATGGTTTAGGTTGAAAGGGACCTCAAAGATCATCTAGTTCCAACCCCAACACAGATAGTTTCTCAAAACTGGTCATAAAAATTATTTTATGCCAAGTTCTGAGTGCAATAGCTGATAGATAAAGGCCAAGGAATGACAGTATCTAGCCTTCAATTCCCACTTCTTCCACTGTGCTGCTGTGTGGTCCTGTGAAAGGTAGTTTCACTTCTCTCTTATTAGCTGTATTAGAAAACACTAAATTATTTCATATGCAAAATTGATAGAGAACCAGTTGCATCTCTTTCTATTCAGACTTGATCACAGAACGGCAGCTTAGTAGTCAAACCATTAATTTTTGTTAACAAGACTATGTAATTACTGACACTAAAATATATAAATATCTGTACCAGTCCAGAAAAGGCAGCATGTAGTAGGGCTTTTTATATACTCCTTAAAAGGACAGAAGTACAAACCTTAAGTATTTTATATCGTCAAGAACTGCACACAAAAATAGCCAGATCAAATTAAAACAGAGGTGACCAATAGTGGCTCAAAATTCTAGGTTAATAATGGAATGCCAGCTTGAGCTTTGAACCTCCTTTAGTTTTGACAGTACTGTATATATACAGTATTTTCTTTTTTGGGCAGAAAAAAAATCATGAAAATTTAAAAAATGCGTAAAAATTGTCTGCCAACAGGTTCAGGTTTTTTCTCTTCTAAATGCCTAATTAAAGTCACTTATTTAGTGATTTTAAACCACACATTTTCGTTTTAAATTGTAAATTTTCAAATGCCAAGTGAAGTTAAATGTCAACACCCAGGCGCAGTTGCTGCCCTGGGGACAGCTCTACGCAAGCGACACGCGCTTTCCCTAAAAAAAGAGTCGCTATTTCTTGGCGTGCCTTTAAAAAAATAATTTAAAATGGCACAAAAAGAGACAGCAAAACAAAGCAGGCTCCCAAAGTGTTCAATAACATAATGTCATATTGATAGATAAGACTGACGAGTCCAAATACAGCTCTGAATTTCATCAACAAAGTTGCTCTTCAAGGCAACCAGAAATAGCAAAAGGAGAGGAGACAAACGAAGCGGTGGAAACAGGCAGCTAAAAGGAACATTGTAGAAAGCTCTTCAGCTGATGCTGATGTGAAAATTTATCTACGTAGCCAGGCTCAAAACCACATCATTCACCATAATCGCATGGAAACTTTCCACCAGATCAAGAGGTTTGTGTTCTCATTACAGGCAGTTGAGGTATGAAGCCTCCTAACACGTCCCACAGCACTTGGACCTGCCTGCAAGCCCCACGTTTTCTTCAAGTTCTGTCACAGGAAACACAAAAAATTCAAACCCGTTTCAGTTCTAGGTGAGGCTGAGTGACGGATTCTCTCTTACGGTTATTGAGACAATATTCTAAGGCCACTGGAAATTTGGGGAATTTGGGCGTTGACTCACATCCTCAACAGCCTGAAGACAACTTTAAAATAAAGGATAAAAGAACTCAATCACAGAGAGGCCATGGCAAGCCCCAAATTCATATGAATTTAAATAAAATTGTTCTTTCTATCGTGTCATATTTAACGTGAGAACGATGAAAAGACCTCATCCGTAATGGCACACGTTTTGATGGGATTTTTAAAATTTCTCAATAAAACTTCATTCCCACCATAAATTTAACTAATTTTTCACAGGTTTCCACATCTCTGGATGTGCTCCTGCCCGGGAGGCCCACTCCCAGGCTTGAGTGCTACCGTTGCAGCGTGTGTGCAAGGGAAGGAAACGTGCCTCCCTGGCTGGCTGTGAAACGACAGGATTTCCAACAGGTATTTTTCCTCTCTGGATTGAGAGTTAAAGAACATCCGTAAGGACTGATGTCACTCTTCCAGCCACAGTCCAGAACTAAAAAGACAAATCCCATCCAAAAACTCTTGGTTGACATCAATTGTGCATCCATAATTCAAATCAGGGGCCAGAGAAGCTCCCTCGGAATGAGCAGTTGGCAGCACTTACTCGGCAACGGATTCAACTGGTTTTCTTCTCCCAGTATTTTCCTTTCATAAAAGAGCTGCATAGGATGTAAACACTTTGTCAACGACAAGCCAGGACAGGGATGTGGAGAGAGCACAGTCAGGAAGGAAGTTGAAGGCTATTTAAAATTCATCTGTATCTAGGACGAATTAATGAGAAGGCTGGAAGCTTGTTTCAAAGACACAAGACAGTTCACTCGAAAGGCTTTTTGATTTCGAGAATTTTTTTTGCAGAAGAATATGTTTCACTGTTAGCAGTTGCAACAGGTTTTTACCTCCTTCCAGTTGCTGGAATTACAGGCATGCTGTTTGTTCAGAGATAAAGTAAAGAACAATTCAATGCAGACAAAAATTATTTTTTCACTGCTCCGTTACTTCTTCTGGATGCTGACTGGACAGACAGCTTGACCATATCATTTCAGTCCTCCATTAAGGAATAGTTGCTTTCTTATTCCATGGCCATATGTCTTCAGATTTTATTTTCCTTCTATGATGAGGGCCAATTAGACTTTTATTTTAATATATTTTTAATCTATGCTCCTCCCACAAATTCTCAGAAGTGCTTGTCACATCAAGCTGACCCATGAATCTTAGGAGCAGTTTTCACTGGTGCCTTAGTGTGTTGTCTACACACTGCCCCGCTGTTTCTCAAGATGTCTGTGTGTATATTCTCACTTGAAATCAGTCTTCTTACAAGAGTGTCCACTGATAGGACAAGGGGAAATGGGTTTAAGTTGAAGGGAACAGATTTAGATTAGATCTTGGGAAGAAATTCTTCAGTACGACGGTGGTGAGACTTTGGAATAAATTACCCAGAGAAGTTGTGGATGTCCCCTCCCTGGAGGTGTTCAAGGCCAGGCTGGATGGAGCCTTGAGTAGCCTGGTCTAGTTGAGAGGCGTCCCTGCCCATGGCAGGGAGGTTGGATTAGATGATCTCTAAGGTCCCTTCCAGCCTGTGCCATTCTATGATTCTATGATTCTTACCATTCCAGGTTTGGTTTTGGCTGTTGTAAAAGAGGCTCCTTTAGCTTTATGTGATGATTACCCTCCACAAACGCTAACAAGTTTCCCTTTCTCTAGCAGACCCTAGTGTCGCACTCGCTCACTTTCTCCTTGGATTCTTTCACCATCTTTCCCAGAGTAATTCCTTCAGACATGCCGAGAGAAACACTGCCAGATGTGAGATGAATGCAAATGTTTTAAGAGTTGTTTCTTTTTTTCATTCTAAATATTAAATCTATATTAACCATGACTAAAAGACTTCTTCAGCATATTTTATCATCAAGCTTAATATAATAAAAAGCACAGGAGCTTCAGACAGGACGTAACTGTGCTGCTATCACAATAATCACCATTATGAAATGATGTTCTGTACTTCTTGAGAAACAATCTCTTGAAATCATTATTTCTGAGAGCAGCTGTACATCAAGATCAGAATGAAGCAACAAACCGAACTGACGAAAAATGATCAAATCCACACCAGAAGCTCATTCTGAAGATTAACTCACTAACAGTTCAAAAGTGATCAAGGGATCGTGTTCCTACTGCATGATCATCTCTGCAAAGAAGAGGACAGAGAGCAGAAAAACTAAAAACCTTTCTGCTTTTTCTATTTGCTTACTTAAAATAATCAGGACATTGTGAAAGAAATAGAGCTCAGATATTTGTATGAAAATGTGGAATCACTTCTCCATTACTACCTTTTGCACTCTCTTGGATATCTGGCCACATTAACCTACCTCTTTTGGATAACTGAGCACCAACATGCAGAAGAAGTGATACCCTTAAGGAAAAAATACTGAATTATGGAAGTGGACAATATTTGCTTAGTACTGAATGCTATCAAGGCACGTGCAGCTAGCCAGAAAATTTGCAAGTGAAATACTTCACAATAAAAATTAACAGAATGAACTAGAGTCAACAGTGTTTCATACTCACGAAGTCTCTGCATTTAAAATTCTCAATTATTTCATTTATTTATATCTTTTTATGTTTGTGACCCATTTAAATCAGAAAGGAAATCAGTGACAGGTTCAAAACCAGGTTTAATTCCACAGATGCCCTGACTTGATGGTGGCAAAAGGAAGTAGTAGTATTTTACCAAAATAAGCATTCCAGACTATCCATCTATTCTATCTTTTTTTTTAAAGGAAGTGCAGATATATCTACAATACAGAACCATGCTCTTTTGTATCTGGAGTAATGCACTCCTTAGAACAGTAGGGAGAAAAAAAGACACAAAGAGAACAGCTTCGTTCAATTGTGCTGTTTGGCAGTTCTCACTATTTGTTGAATATCAGGCCATCAAAGCAACGTGCAATACCCTCACTGTCTTTGGGCACTCGGAATCAGACAATCAGGACAGCTTTCCCGCTAAAAGTCTCCTAGGCTTTTACTACTAGGTGTCTTCAAGAACTTAGAATTCCTAACTTTGAATAAATTATTTAAGAAATTAAATGAAGAACAGATGTGTATGCATCAGATATTCTTAATTAGATCCCTTAGCAAAGAATGAGGCAATCCACAATTCTAATTTTAAAACCAAACCAGTATTTCACTGAAAATCTCCTCTTCTATATAACCATGGCTTCTACAGAATTTGGTTACATACATTTCGAAATTAAACAGTAAATGACTCCAACAAAACCAAACAAAACAAAGAAGAAACATTTGTGAGGTGGAGGAAGGGCTTTCTGATTCAAGTGTTTTTACCTCACAGAGTAGTAAGTCAATGATGTGGAAGACCATGCAGAGTGGAAACTTGGCAGTGAAAAGAGTGAGGAACCACTGGGATGCATACATATGAGCTTCCAAATTGAGGTCTGAGAAATGGCTAAACAGGTCTGGTAACTGCTCCTAGAGTAAAGGGGAGAAAAAAAAAAAGCTTCAGTATTACTCATTAATTTGAGTTCATCAGTAAGTACCAGGTTGCTAAACACTGAAAAACACAACAAAGTGAAATCCTGGCTTCTTTCGAGCAATGGAAATACGTTTTTTCATAAACTCAGTGCCCATGGTTACAGTTTTAGTAAGATATCCACTGAGGATTCTAACACGGTATCGAATAACATTCTGAGATTATACTGAGAAATTACAAAATCTTCAACAGTCGCAAGGCAGAGTGGTTGTGAAATCTACGTCACGCACAGTATATATTTTTAAGTTATTGCTTCACTGTGTCTTGCTATAAATGCTTCTGGTAAAAAAGCAACGGATACTAGAACAAGGAGTTCACCTTGCAGAGCTTGAAAGCAACGAAGCCCACAACTCCATCAGACAATTTCTCTAACTAGGAGCATATATATGAAACACAAAATAAGGATTGACAATCCCACTGTACACTGATGACATATTCATATTCAGTTAATAAAGTAAAATCTTTGTTAACATATGTAAATATTGAGAAGACCATATGCTGAAGTTCAGTATCAAATTAATTAGTAGGCAATTCTACTTCATCGAGTAGGAGACATGTATGATTTGACATCTGAAAAAAAAGATAATTGAATTATCTGTGGTCTGTTTTGTTTGGGTTTAATACATCCACAGAGGTAGACATGGCTATCCATGGTCGCTGACTCCAGCAGCTAGGTTTCACTATGCTAATGGAAGTGCAGGTCAAAGCTTAAGGGACTGTTTGTAACCACTTATTAGTCAGAGCAACAATGTGTAAAACTTGCAGCCGTTTATTTATGTTAAATTGCTCTGGCTACCAAATAATTCCATCTGCAAAAAAGCCCCAAGGTATTGAATACACAGTAAAATCTACAAAATGACCTGCACTTGATCCGTATTTCATAAGCATCGGGACATCCTGATTTGCTTGACCTCTTAACCATCAACATAATTCACAGAAAGTAGGACACTGATGGTGGCAGTCCAAAAGATATTTTGGCCTTAATAGAACAGGGACATTCCCTCTAAGCAACATCACGGAATAGGGAAGAGAGTAAGCAAATGGAGAGAGGAAAAAACCCAGACACCTACTCTGCTTGGATACAAAGATTAGCAACAACATTAGCACACAAAAGACAAAAGAAATTAGAAATAAATCTGACTCACAGTGTTTGGATCCAGATATTAAACTTCCCTGCTTTGGTTCTACCCCACCTCTAAAAGGAAGGGGGTTTATTGTTCTGTGGCTCATGGAAGCAAAGCATGAATCTCTTCTTCATGCCAGTATTTCCATTTATGAAAGTAGAAGAATTTGCTACCCCGGCCCCACCTGCATTAACTTCTCCAGCTGGAAAAATTTGCAATGGAGATCTTCAAAGTTATTTCTGTAGAGGTCCCTCAAGCCATAGTCATACATTATTTTCACAAATACACAGAATGCCTGCTCCTCCGGCATCTGTTTGGGAAAATACACAAACACAAAGTTAGAAATTGGGCTGAGGCTGGACATTCATTACACAAATACACACAATTAAGCATCTAATGAATGATGAATTTAGAACTAGAAATATATTAAAATATTCAGCAAAGCACTCTGAATGCAGAATTAAGCCACTAAAATCTCAAGGAGACTATTCTCCTTGACGAGCACCTTGATTTGGCTCTGTAAGATCATCTTTGAAGAAAATGCAGGATCATATCGTAAGTTCATGTAAGTACACATCCCTACAGCAGCACAACTGTCATCAGTACTCTTTCTGCCAAAGAGATAAGAGAACAACCAGTACACAACTCTCAGCTACAGAACAATTTAAAAAACAAACAAAAACAAACAAAAAAAAAAAACAAAGAAAGAAAGAAAGAAAAGAAAAAAAACCAACAAAAACAATTCACGACAGAGATTTCTACTGAGAGACACCTGGTTAAAGGGGAAAAATTCAGGAAAACTAAGGTATAATCAACCCTTAGTGAGAATTAATGCTTATCTACTTTCATCCAAACTCCAAGATATCCATCAAACTCTCTGAAGTCAGGTTTCCCATGATGAATAAGGAAATAACAAATTTTCCCTTCAGAACCTATACCTGAGCCGAGGAGGGGTGATCCCATCTACCAACATCATGACTTCATCAGAAGCCCTATCTCCATAATCTCTCTTTAATTTTGACCAAAATTTCTCATCCAACAGTTTTAGAAGGCAGTACTGAAGGACAGGCTGTGTGAGCCACTCTGAAGTTCCACTTGTTGGCTGGAGCCCACTGAATATCTAATCTGTGGGAAGCCTTGTGTCACCAACCCCCCATGGATAAGACATCTCTACCTCTCTCCCCGTTCCCTCATGCCTTTGGGCAACACAGTAAGAAGACAAGCATAGAGAGTCACTGCAGACCCCAAATCACGTTTTCAATCACATTTAAAAACCACCTTTCTTTTGCAGGCACCAGATTGTAACAAATGACAACGACAACTGAGTATCAAGAATGACAACTCTTGACCTTTTAGCATATTCACTCGTTCAGCCTCTTGCCAACCCCTTATCAAATATGAGCGATAGAGAAAAGCTCAGTATTTTCTTCAAAGACAATTTTAGTTTCTTGGTATTTACCTCCAGGGTTTCATCTTTTATGGTTCAGCCTACGATTATGGCCTGTCTCCAGGGCAGACACTTTCATTTTCATTTTCAGCCAGCGCACATGAAAGTAACTAGTTAGCACAAAGAACTGCCCGATGAGCAACTAGCTACCTGGCCAGGCCAGATTCGCCTAGGACAAGCTCTTAAGAATATCAAAGTTCTTTATCCCAATTTTATCTGGATGGAATGCTCCCCACTGACAGCGGATAAAAGCTGCAGACAAAGTAAAGGGAAGAAAGAGTTTTATCCTGACCAAAAGCCTTGAACCTGCTTTATAATAAGATGAATGCAAATTTCTTTTTTTTTTTTTTTGTAAGGTAACAATTATTTCTAATAAAATGAGAGATGTTCATGCACAAACACACCTACCTTGCATGCTCAATCAGACACACGTGCATTGACAATCATTTCCCACCCGCCCCAGACAGGGAGAGGGAACAGAGGTGAGTACCAGGCCAAAATCATTTACAGGCAGAGGCCACCGAGTCCTCGCTCTCAGTGGATGGAAGTTCTCCAGTATTACCAACCCCAAGAATTCAAAATCATAAATCAAGTTTTCATTTCTCATTTATTTCAAACCAAACTCATTTTTGGCACTTCCGTTCTGATTTTTAGCATTTAGATATTTGCCGCTTATTAACTTTTCTTTGGAATCACAAAAGTCAGAAATGTACCGTTTTTTAAAATGAAATTTTAGTTTCTCACATAGCAATGACTCCAAGAGGCAGACAACAAGAAAAAAAACTCAAACGCTGTGAGGCTTACAGTAAAAGGGTTAGAGTTGGCAACACTGTCCCCCTGTGATTAGAAGTTACCTGCTCACCTTTGATGGGAATTTCATCAAAGCAACAAAATCACAAAAAGCCAGGATGGAGGTTCAGGCTACCCAACCATCCCTGAAAAAAACAATCTACATTGCAGAGAAAGGATATCCTGTCCCAGAAAAAAGGGAAAGGAAAGCGTCTAGAAATCCATGCAAAGATAGAAGAGTTAGAGAGGGTCTTACAAGCATTCACAGCATACAGATTGGTTGGAGAATTTGAGAAAAACAAGAGTTTGAGGACATCCTGGGAAGCTCCCAACTTACATGAGCTCATTGAGACTGCTTCCCTTCCCCCCTTTCTCTGATTATTTCAGTTTAATATCCTATTATGAAAGCAAATGTTATAAAGGGCATATTAAAATGAGTGTCATTGCCATTTAGTATTCCCTACGTACAGGGCAATTTCTTCTGACTCCAGAAACACGAGAAGCAGAGGTGATTCTCTCTAGTAATGACAGCGTACAACTAAGTGAGAGGAGCTGAAGTATTAGTCAAACGTTGAGAATGTGACACCCACTCGTTCCTAAACAACTCTGGTATCGAAAATGGCTTATTCTTCAGTGGGACTTGAAAATCCTTCTTTGGGGAAAAAGTTAATTGCAAAATAAACTGTTAGATAAGCTCATTTGCAGTTTATGTGGGATTGCAACAGTGTGACTAATTTCAGGTTTATCCTTAAAGACTCTAAAGCTTCTCTGTAACACTGTCACTGTGTATCATGCTCCTTAAGTCTTCCAGGAGTCACAGATGTCACTAGGAATTACAAGGTCAATTAATCTGAATTTTGAGTTCTAGATAGCTCAGGAAGTGCATGTGTAACATATGTACAAACAGCTGACTCAAAACCACAATCTCAAACGTATTTCAACCACGATTAACGATTTATTAATTGGCCTGACGGAAAAAACAGGCAAGAGCTTGAGTAAGAGTCGTTGCGGTTTCGAGTGGTCTATTCAGATATTCTTTACAATACCCACACTACTTGAATCTGCTTTTCCACTCATACATCAAAGTGAAAGCATCTTGCAAATATAAAACCTGTGTATTTATCTCTGTACACACACACGTGTATATACAGGAAGCAACAGATCGAAGTTTGTACAGTTTTTGGTTACAGGCTGAAATATCAAGGTTAAAAATTCAGCTTTCACTCAAAAGACATGATAAAATAAAATGGCCCTAGGATAAAAAGTCTCCCTGAAAACTGATGAGATCACTTGCTCTGGTTAGCTACTCTGAGAATATCTCTCAAAGCCAAATTCTCCATGAACACAAAGGGAGCTCACCTACTTGACAACTAAATTAAAAGAAAATATTAACATGTAACAAATCAGTTTCAGGTTTTGACACAGAAGTACTTGACAATTTAATGGATTTCTCCTAGATAAAGGAAATCTACATTCATAAAGATAGAAGTCATTAGTCACTATTTGCCAAAAACAACAAGAGGAAAATGAATACAGACAAATAAACATCAGTAAATATCTGTCAAACAGCGTGTTACAGTACTACTGATTTTAAAGCTGCTTTGGTTTCAAATCTCAAAGCTTTCATTTGGCAATTAACTCACATGAAGCAGAAGCACAGCTGCAAGGAAAGACTGTCCCTGGCAATAGCCGATGTCTTCATCATAGACAGAGTATGCCTAGAAAAAATAAACGGCAGCATATATTGAAAATGCACGCAGGCATTAACGAAGTGTGTAATAATTAACGAGCTCTTCAGAATATGTAATACTGAGGAGACTAAAATAATAAAAGTTGTGAAACTGTAACCATTCTTGCATAGGCTTTCAGGGCACTTAGGAAAACATCTACAGGTCACCCTCAATCTACCATAGATATATTTGTAAATCTTCATTTTTATTTTTCGAACAGCACGAGAACAGTTGGATGCAATTTCCCTTCACCTAAATCATGGAAAACTCTGCTGAGGTCAGTAATGATATAACTTTGACAATGTAACAAATACGATATAAAACCCAGGTTATTTTGTGTTGTGGGGAGAGTGACTGTTTGTTTTTGGAAAAACAAGTTCTGACATCATGAGAGTATAGGAACTGAGGTTGGTTGGTAGGTAGAAAACCACCGAGAACAACTCTAGCCTGAAAATTTCATCAGAAACAGTTTTTCCATGTCCTTGTTATGCTGAGGAATGAATAAGCCTCATTTTCCTACGGCATGATTGACATACTACTCTTTTCTTACTCCTAAAAAACCAAAACTAAAATAACCAACCTTTCCTTCCCCCTTACTTTTCTGAGACAAGACGACAGATACTGTCTTTAAAGAGACGTCAGAGGATGTTAAGAATTTGAAGAAACTTGAGCAAGTACAAGCAGCAGCAGGATTGACATCGGAGAGAGACATCCGGAGAGAATAAGCAAGGTACCAAGGTTACAGCCAAAGAAAACCAAAGCACAAGATCAGAGCTACAGAGAAGAACGAGCCACGTGAATCAGAAAAACCCACTTTGCCCCACGCCGCCTCCAAGACTGTTTACAGATGAGAACGTTTTGAACTGGAACACGGTGCTTATCTTCTTTTTTTTTTTTTGAGTCTTGAATGAAATCAAGATTGCAAATGCACCGAATGGAAGTACAGGGAGACTGTGAACAAACGACGTCAGGTATGCTGGGGAACCAAACCCACCGGGGTCGAGTGCACATTTCAAAGGTGGTTAAGCTGCCTCTTCAAAAGGTAAGGAATTGTGACCCAAAGAGGGATGTGACTCCTTTCCAGCCAATACTATTAACATAATTGCAAATAATTCCTGCCAGGAATGTTAAAATGGAAGCCAAAACATATTTAAAGTCTTTAAATCACCTTTCCTTTTTCATTCTGAGGGGCAAAAACTAAGAAAGAAATATTTAGAAGGAATTCTGTAATGATTCCAGAAGAGAAGATTTCTGTGAAGAACATAACCTGAGTATTCCCTTAAAGGTCACTGTTTGCAAGCAACTCATCCATACATTTCCTAACACATTTGTAGCTTTGTGAAAAACTAAACTGTGACTTACATACAGCTCTTTGCCATTGGTCTATATTGCTCACCATTCCTTTGAACTACGTTAGGATGAGTTAGAATCAGAGTGAAAATAATCCCAATCCACTGCTCAGTTTCAGTGGCCAAGCAACTACAAGACGACTAGTCACATCAATTATTGAAGAATATTTAACGAACCATTACAATCTGCTTACTAGTTTAGGTCAGCTCTAGCCACAAAAATAACTCCAGAAATGTACAACTGCAGACACAAAACTTGGAATTGGGAAAAAAGGATGTTGTCTTGGAAAAAGTGAATTTGAAATTACTCTTCAGCTACTAAATGCTGAATTAACAGAAATTACTTTCAACACTTAATATTGCATATGACTAAGTAGAACCATCTACTGGTTAATCATCATCACCATGAGCCTTTATCTACTTGTTCCCCAAAATCTATCAGTTTATAGATGTCCAATACTTTATTTCTGTAGCAGTCCTAAAAGTGGTATTATTCCTGCTTTTGAAAGGCCAGCTCTGCTTAGGAACAGACATGCAGAATTGAAAATAATAAATCTGATTTATGATTTCTTCATATTATATAAAACCACTTCTATTTTCCTTTAAAAATTTCCAGGCTGAAAAATTAATAGCAAATTATGAACACGTGGAGGTTCTCACTGCTCTGAGAAGCATTATTAGCACAATAGTTATTATTTGCTGAAAACAGCAATAAATTAATCCAAAATAGTTTTAAAATAACTATTGACAGATGAACACGTTAGAGCAAACAAACTGCCTCCAAAACTGATGTAGATTAAAAAGTAAAGAAAGGTATCAGAAACACAAAGATACTTCTTTTGAGATTGTGACAGAAGTTGAAATTATGGCAAAAGAGGGAAAATGGAGGAGGGTGCAAAAAAATCCTCACTCTGCATGCTAAATATAAAAACGTGAAGGAAGACCAAGAAATGTTCTCATAATCAACTTCCTAAACACATTAGAAGTAGTAATAAATCCATTTTCAAACACATCCAGGGCAGGAAGGCAGAGCCTCTGCTTGGAAAATATATGGTCGAGGTAGAAAAGTTGTATTTAAATTATTGCAGAAAATCCACATGAACTTTCTTTGTGTCTGGTTTATTACAGAAGAATCACAGGGGTTGTCATCCTGCTGGAACCATTGCTAACAGGGGATGTGCTGAAGGGTCTGTTTCCAACTGAGTATCAGAAAAGATTATAAATTAAAAGGAATAAAAATACTAAAAATTTATTAAGAACAGATAGTATTCACCCAAAAAGCTGGGAGAGGGAGTGGGGAAGGAGGGGAAGAAAACAGTAAACCATTAATTGGTTGATTAAATCAGAAGACTAGATGACAAATTCAAAGCAGTTGTAAAAGAGGTGATCCATAGAACTACAAATCAATAAGCACTCGATAATGTGGTTTCAAAAAAATATTTTAAATTAATTAGGGGACACAAATATACACAGGATGTATAAGAGAAAAAAGTCTGAGGGCCACGGTAAAAGGATGACACCATTAACAAATCTTTGAAGGAGCCGACAACTATGAAAAAACTATTAACTGCTTGATCCGCTCGCTTTTTGAAAGTAATTTTCACTAGGTTCTTCCTCAAAATCTGATCTTCACAAGCAGCTCTTACCAGATATTTAGATACTAACTTCAGTTCTGCGTGACAATTAGATCAAACTGAGAAAGATTCTGCTGTTAAGTCAAAGCATCATAATCCTGGCAACTAAAGATTAATTTTTTTAATGAAGTCTCTAAAATTTACATGATTTCATTGTATTTGCCCAAAGCAAAGAGATTTTTGAAGCTTTACGCGTGTTACATTTCCAATTCTACTGTTTTAGTTTTAAGTAACCTACGGGACTTGATATAGCTGAAATACGATGTAATTAACCAAAATAGCCTCAAAAATAAGGATGCTGCCTACAGATACCACCATAATATCATATTATTAACAAAAGATCTGAGATGACTTATTTAAGATTTATTCTTTTAACAGACTGAGGAGCATTAACTTTGTCTTTCCACATGAAACACGAAAACAATGCGAACTCCCAAATCCCCTCCTGCCATTGCAGTCGTAACTTTGGAATTTCAAGAGAATGGGATTTTTCCCATGACAGCCTGTGACAACATTGCTGTCTTTTAAGTTATTATTTTTTTAAGCTCTTGGGGAATCTCCAATCACAATACTCCAGTTAACTGAGATTTTACATATTCTCTGTCTCATAATGAAGATTCTGACTTGAAGTCTACTTTCATTCATTTTAACTAAATGAAGATCTCACTCACGGAATTAAAATGCCTTTTTACTAGTTATCTGTCTTCTGAAGAGAAGAACTACTATGCAGCTATTAGTACAATATCATTAGGAAGTGAATATTTTGGAAGCAAAAGAGTCTCCTGAAATAAAGTCAATGATAGAGAACGGCCTGCATGTTGGGAAAGTGAATGAAGAATCCAGAGATGGACAGAAATTCACCTCGAAAATATTTAATGGAGGAAAATCTCCCAAGATCTGAATCTTCTGCACACAGAAAAATTCCAAGTAAGCAGCGTTTAAAAGACGAATGGAAAGGTTGTCAATCCGAATTTAGAAGGTCAGATTTGAGATTTCTGCAACTACTGTGTATGAGTCCCGGCAGTTTTAAAAAAGGAAGAGCAGAGAGTTCTTCTTGAAATTCTCAAAATTCCGGAATAAAATGGTTTTCACCATTTAACATCCTCCTAAACATGGAAATAATTGCTTACACTTCCTGAAGATTCAAATGTACTTAAAACAACAAAATGCAAAACACTAACCAGCAAACATCAGCTTACAATCACATTGCCAATTTGCCTTTACCATAGTAACTCAATGATATTAGAAACTAAACATTAAAATTACATTAGATGCTAAAGAAACCTCATGAAAAATATTTCTCTAGTGTCTGCCTCATATAAAGGTCTTACATTTTCAGAGCTTTCATTCCAGTCCCCCCACCCCCCCCGACTTCAGGGCAATGCAGAGGGAAAGGTTTGAGCAGAGGCTCTACAGATCTCCATCCCTCATCGGCAATAACGGTACCTCTCTTGCCAGTAATAATGTTCCCTGGCACAGGAAACACTCACTTCTCTGAAAAAGCGACAGGCACACTGGCACAGTGCTTGTCAACAGCCATAAGAGATATCCAGCATCTGTGTCCCAGGAAAACGCAACAGGAACTGAAGGCAAGTTTTTTGGGGGGAAGAATTAAAAAGCCTGATGTGCTCTTACCTTTGTGTCACTACCAAAATGATAGAAATGATCTAGGGAATCTGCTCGGTGTTTGATAGAGACACAGCTCTGTGCTGAGCAGAGTTAAAAGCCTCAGGTGGTGCCTGCAAAACAGACTGTCTCAAGAAAACATCCGTGCTTCGGTGCAGACTCCTCGCGCAACAAGGTCTTTTACGACATGCTCGGTCACTCGATAATTGTAGTGCCAGCATAATTTAAAACTCCATACTTCCATTTATTATAAGGCTAACAGTCTGAAAGTAAATAATATTCCCATGACTGCAGCATTTAGGATGTATCACATTATAGAAGGAATTTCTGTGTTAACTGGAAACTGTATTTTTAGAAATCAGTTATTTGTTGAGTATCA